GAGGACATATGACACTAATAATATATAATATTGCAAATATGTTATGAAAAAATTTAAAAAATAAAATTATCCAATTGTAAATTATTTGTACTTTATAAAAAGTATGGAAAATATATTAAAGTACCAAATAAAATATTACTATATATTTTATATGCACTATTTATTTTATAATCACCACTCATATGTTTATTCAGAACTTTATATCACTTTTCAACATTCACATATTGTTTAAAACTATTTTTTAGACAAACCGCAATTGTCCCATTGTGTTTTTAGCACAAACCGCACTTAACCCATACCGTACTATCCAATCCGTTTGTCTCGCACCCCCAATTTGCTGTTACCACATTCAATCCGTATAATGCCGCTGTGCATGCGTTTTCACTTTTAACTATTTTTATATATAAAATATTCAGTTTTCTATTCAAATTTCTTATTTTTCGACATACGAGTTGATTATTTAATACATCAAAATATATTTTTACCAATTAACCTTATTTTCACAGTTTATTCCATAAAAACCGTACTTGTCCGGCATAATGCATGAGACGTAGTTTCAGCGTGCCGTATTTCAATTATGTACCGCTTATATTACTAATTCACACTTCGGCTCTGAATGGTAAAATCGAATCGAGTGGTGCAGAAAAAGCATATTGGATATCGTAGTGTGATGTAATTGCGCTTGTATAAGAGAAATGCATGATGTGGAACAAATTTGTTCATCTTAAATAAGCGGTTCAAAATAATGTATGAAGGGTGACATGTATAATGAATAATACAACTACATGGTACATATAATATATTTATAATTTACAAATTAAAAAAAAAAACCAGAATTGTGTCCGAACAAACCAGAAAAAACCCACCTATTGTTCCCATCAAATCATTTTAGAAGATCTTGTCCACTTAGAATGTATATTAATCTTTTTTGGTTAAGAATAAATATTAAGCTAAACCCCATTTTAACCCTCTAACTATACAATTAAACTTTTTTCCAAAAAAAAACTAATTAAATATACTTTGAAGAATTATTTTATTATTTATTTACATTTAACAAGGGATGCTACTATAACCAAAACTTCTTCAAGTGATTACGATAATCTTCTCCAATGACAGTTGCGCTGACAAGATCTCTTTCAGATTATGATTACCTTATCAATCTCCTCATCATCAGTGATAGCGGTAAGTCTCCTCCTTACTCTCTATCTCTCTACTATCACTAAGTCTCCTCCTTACTCTCTATCTCTCTCCTTCATATGAAGTCATGAATTAATAAAAGACTCACAAAGTGTTCGACTTTTTAACTGGGAATCATCTCTCATGCATGTTTTTGTGATCTGAATTAGGATTTGTGCTTATGTGTGTGTATACACATGTGTGAGGAAAAGTTGCTTGCTACTGCGTTTCTCGGCTGATAATTTCAACACATGTTTCATTACAACCATTGGGGACACACACACGTGTAAGAAGTTTTTTTTTTGTTTCTGTGGGTTACAAAAATTTTCTATTTCGCTATGATATCGATGAACTGAATGTTTCTGTTGATGCATGCTGCCTTTGTAGCCAATGCTGATGCTCAGTCCAGCATTTCAACCAAACCAATAAAGGAACCAGAGATTTTGAAGCCTGTGTGGTGGTGCCAAACTCTACTAGATCAGCTGCAAATCACACCTATGAAACTACAAACGGCCACGAACAAAAATCTGTCCAGGTGATCAGCTAAGCTTTTTAAAGAGAATGCACAGAAAAAAGAACAACTTTATAATTTTTCTTATAATATGGTTGTCTTTGATTACTATCAAAAAGTGGTCGAGCTATATCTCACTCTTAAGATTACTTGTATTATTGATTATCTTCTTATTCTACTGCTAACAAGAATTTCCAATGGATGGGTCATCAAGGAAGATGAGACTCATTTGGATTCTCATTAGTTTGTTTTCAACAGTAATGCTAACAGTAATTATATATTTTTTGTTTAGTAAGGAAGCAATAAAGTAAGCAAACATTTGTTGTTGTATCTTTAAGATCACAAGTTGGTTTCTTAGCTCACAAGCAACCATGGAAAACATGGCCAAGCCAGAATCGAAGAGGCATAATGTATATATGTCTACTGTCGTGTTCATGTCGGGACATAAAGCCATTTATCTTTCATCTCTGAAGCTTCCCGCCCTAAGGTTTAGGAGGATGAGATAAGTAATGATGGTGACAGTTCCTCCAAGGTATTTCGACTTAAGAAATAATATTTTAATTATTTGATTATTTTATAATCAAATTTAGTTAATATTTATAAATATATAAAATATATTATAGAATTTTTTAAATTTGAAAATACAATTTTTTGGATGAGGAAATATGTGATTATTTTAGAAGACGAAAATGTGAATATCAGGAACCAAAGAACCAAACCAAATTGAACAAAAAATGAGGTTTTTTGTTTTGTTTCTATCCTATCAATTATACTAATGGATCATATATCTCTAGAACCGGAAAGCTTGAACTGAACCGAGAACCAAATGGGTGCCCGAATTTCTATACTATAGTTTATATATTTATAAATATTAACTATATTTAGTTTTATAATAATCAAATAATTTTAAAAATTATTTCTAAGTCGAAATACCTAAAGATAAATAACTAAAATAAATTTTATGCAAAATATTTAAAATTATCATAACTATTCGAGTTTTTACTATTTAATCTCAGTTAACCAATAAAATGGAACGGAATGGGATCCTAAATCACCTTGGATATAATTGAATATATCTATGCTGTAGATATGATATGAAAGATAAAGTGCTATTATTTAGATTTATAGTATCAACATCTAAAATGTTTTGTAATAATTATTCCAAAAAAGAAATCTTAAATAAAAATAAACACGTCATTTTGGTTCTTTAGCTTAGTGTGTTTTGTATCAAAAGAGTACACTTTTTGTACCGCACTTATCATTTCATTTTTATTTAAATTCTAAATTAAAATTTATATACTAAAAGTATGATGAATATGACAACTTTCTAGTCTTGTACTGTGGAACACTCATACCCCTTAAAACATTCATTGCCTTATCTTGCAAAATCACATGAACCACAATTACACGGTACGCATTTTACCAAATGCAAAGTATGTAATATGAATTTGTAAGTATTGGCAATGTGCTAGGGAAAGAGAATTGCAATACTACTTTGACATAAGACCCAATTCTCTCTTTCTAGCACATTACCAATACTTACAAAATTCATATTTCAGACTTTGGATTTTAAAAAAAAAAACTAAAAGAATATTACTTTGGATGGGAGGGAGGAACTTACATTGCTTGATCATCTTCTTTTGGGCCATACTTTTTAGGCGCTGCTCAAGAGCTTTGTTTTCCATACTCAAAATAAGATTTCGCTGACTGAGAAAATCAATCTCAGCTGAAATTTTGGAGCCTTTTTGCATGTAGTTACCAATGAAATCATACTTTAGTTTTTTTTGAAATTGTACTATATTACACTTTCTCGAAATTGTGTTTAGCATTATCTGCAATGACATTCCTTTCTAGCTCAGATATGTACAGGAGATTACGGATCCAAGATCATTGTGCAAATTTTCTGTATGAAGTAACAAGACAATGTTATGATAATGAAAATGAAGACAGTATCAACAATAATCTCTTTACTACAAAGATGTAAATTATGCATAAGTCAATAAGATCAATGGGGTCATTCAGCGTTGATAAAAATAAGATGAAATGAAATGAAGATTATTTAGTGTAATGGCTTTAGATTGATAAATAGATAAGAACGAGTAGGAAGATCACATCATGTTTGGCACGTCTTGTATTGTCAGCCTAAGAAGACAGTTTTTTAGTCTCATGAGAAAGAATTAAGTGTAGTTTTTTGTTTTTGTTTTTAGTATTACTATTGTCTGTTGAGGTGTATATGATGCTCCCATATGTTTTCCAGCAATACTATCTCCGGTAAAAAGTAGCAAAGAAGGATAAGCTCCAGATGCCACCTTTGCTTGTTAATCTGTTTTAGAAAATTAGAATCAGAGTAGAAATCAGCGTCTTGTGCATTTGTGTTTCAATCACTTCTTTGAGAGGAAGAACCTATATTCACCTAGAGCTGGATTGTGAATCAAACCGCCTCGCATGACTCGTTGATCCGCGAATTTGAGTAATTTTTTGAACTAAAATTTTGATCTGTTTGACCTGCTAAAAAAAGATACTAAACCTGCAACCGCCTCGTTTATTTTTTTGCGGATAATCTGCAAGATCCATGGGTAATATTAATAATAATAAAATAATAATTTTATATAATTTTAAAAATAAAATAATATATTTATAATTAACGTTTTCTATATGTTTGTAATTTTTTAAAAAGAAAATCATTTTAACAAATAAAAATAACTTTTTAAAGAAAAAACCTCTTTTTTTTAATTTTGCGGGTTGGCGGATACCGGGTACCCACGATATAACTTCAACCGATTTGCACTCGTCCTTCAAAAAATAGGCACAACTCGCATCCACGATTCAAATTTTCAAGTTGTTTGATCCACACTCGACCCGCAGCGGATCAAATAGGACGAGATCCACGGATAATGATTAGAATTCCCATCTCTATATTCACCTAACCTAAATAATTTTGGAGAGTCAATTCACTTTAACCTATATATTGAATAATATATCTTAAACCATAAGTCTAACTCTCATCCACACCCTACATAGTTACATACTATACTTTATATCATTATTACCATTCTAAACTAAATTTAAAAGATATATATAATTTATTATTTACTTTTTCAAAAAAAAAGTTACTTTTAACAGTTTTGATATATTTTGTTAATCATGAAGTTATAAATAAAAGTATATTTGTACTTTTCCTTTTTATAAATGCTACTTTGGGATTAAAAGCTTGTTTGATTACTATTTCAGGGTATTTTTATTTAATAAACTAATAAACATAATATAAATAATAAATTAATATTATATTTTTTTTACTGCACATCAGCTTCATTTCTTTACATGCACTTTTATAAATTACATTAGTTTTGTTGTCACTTTTTAAAAATAGTTTTGTTATAACAACTTTATAAAGAAGCACTATGGAAAAGAGTTTCTCTCCTAGGAATTTTCTCACAGGTGAAGAACTTTTCCAACTCAATTCCAAAGCTGCTTAAATGCCTCACACAAGAATCCAGAATCTGAGTTGTCCAGTGAAACAAGTGTCGAAGTGCACATTCTTAAGCAATCAAGTTATCTTCACACTTGGGGGGAAGTTTACAACATCAACTTTACATGAACCATTCACTCCAAGGGAATGCACCATTTTACCAATAACTTAAAAATACAAACAAACAGTAGATAGCATAGTACAACTCCAGATCAGTGTTTTCTTACCATACACACAAGTCACCACAACAATCACCAGATAAATGAAGTCCAGGTGTCTGATCTTCGAACTAAACCACCTCAGGCAAGCCATCTGCTGGAAGTATTATAGGTTGCTTGGTGACTTAACATATCAACCGTAATAAAAAGTGAGGGAGTATTAAGAGACAATAGAGTAGGGCCTGATCTTGTTGAAACGGCAGGCCCTTTGGAGCTATGAACCAGTGGGTAGAGACACACTCAGACACATTGACTAAAAGTGGAACTGACCCATCACAGATACAGAGTCACGCCTACAGTTTGAATCTTTGGTATTCAGGGAAAGACGAGAGAACTGAGAGTCCAGATCCTTGCTAGTAGCACGTTTGTGATTTGCTGATGGTTTATGAATTTGTTGTTGCTGTTGCTGATACAAGGCTCGTAATCTTCCAATCTCATTTTCCAGCATCTCTTGTTCCACTGCATAATAGAGAGAACTCATGAGTCAGGAGTCGTGGTACTACTACTTCTCTATAATAACGAATATGCTAATAAGTATTGTAAAGGTTGTTTTGTTAGTTTCTCCAGCAGCTTAATGTAAATAGGAGCTACAGTCGATTTGAGAGAGTAGAAATAGTTCAATCTAGATAACTAGCTGCAACTTAAAAATTCATACTTAAGATTAAACTTGGATCTAAAGAAAGCTAAAAGAACACTTTTTTAGATGGGTGCAAGAAATTTACATTGTTTGATCAGCTTCTCCTGAGCTACACTTTCAAGGCGGTGCTTAAGAGCTTTGTTTTCCATATTCAGAATAAGATTCCGCTGGCTGAGAAAATCAAGCTCAGCTGAAACTTTGGAGCCTTCTGCCTATAGAAACCCACAAGTCAGTGCTCCCGAAATTGTAATGCAATACAATTTGACAAATGCAACTTTTTTTAGCACTACCTGCAACGACTGCACATTCCTTTCTAGCTCAGATATGTACTGGAGCTTACGAACCCGTGATCGTTGTGCAAATTGCCTGCAGGGAGTATCAAGTAACCATATTATGATCGTAAAATATAAATAATCATTCACTCCATCTGTGCCATAAGTTCATCTCTACAGGACATACAGAAAGGGGGGAAATCAATAGTGAAGATGAGACATACTGTTTGGCACGTTTTGTATTGTCAGCCTCATACGTCACATGCTGAGGATTGGAGTTGTTTTCCTCAGAAGAGAACCTCTTTGTGTCATGAGAAAGAGCTTCTGCATATTTCTTTGTTTCTGCTGTTGCATCCTGAGACATATATGACGCTCCCATGTTTTTCCCACCAACACACTCTCGAGCGGAAGGTAGCCAAGAAGGAAGAGCCCCAGATGCCACCAGTTGCCGACTCCTCTGTTTTAGGAAACTAGCATCAGAGTAAAAGGAGGACGCGTCTTGAGTGATTTTAGTACGATCAAGCTCTTGAGTTCCTCTTTGAATAGAAGAAACTGGACTCCTATAGCTGAAATCACTTATGTTTGTAGCATTAGCCACGTCTAGGTAAGCATAAGAGTCGCTTGCTGAACGCCTATGACCAGATTTGCGAGCAGGACTCTCTGGCTCACTGAGAAGATCGTCAAGCCAAAAGGGAAGCTCTTCCACCAGATGGCTCTCAGAGGAAGTCCGCTGGTGGTGCGTTTTCTCAACACTAACCTTGTGACCGTGCCTTAGGCCACAGGGAATGTACTCAGAGTAGGATGCTGATACGCTAGGAAACGGGATCTTTGGAGGGAGCAAAGCATTTTTTCCTGGGTACATCAAACTCCTCTCTGATCCCTTGGTGCCAGCCATTGTCACTCTTGCCTGCCAAAAGAAGTGTAAAAAAGATTTATCCACTAATCTGAAAGAACATCACTAAAACAAAGCTTAGGTAAATAATTTGAAACGCAAACAAACAAAGATCAAAGGGAAAAAGATGAGTCAAACTATTATACCCCCCCCCCCCCCACAAAACATCTCTTTTTAAGCTTGCCTTAGGAACCCAGTAACATAGACAGAACAATGCGAAGCCCATAAAGAACTAAGTAGGCTCATAACATTAAGCAAAAAAAATGTCTTAAAAGACAGATCAATGCAACAGTCATAGAAAGCATTACACCTCTTAATGTTTTAACTCAATCAGCATTCAAGTTGCGTTCGCTACACTTTTTTTTAAGACATATAAAAGTGATTTACAAGCTTCTTAATCATCAACATTAATCAAATAACCTTTTTCTTCTTCCACATCAGTTAACAAACCAATCAATTAAATGCCAAACAAAAATCGAGAATCCTTTATAAAAAAAAGGACAGATTTATCAGTTAACACATCAGTTAACAAACCAATAAATTACAGACAGATTGATCGGAGAAATATTTTCTTTTTTGAAGAAAAACTAACCAGTTGGAGAAAGAAGGAAGGAAGCAAGACCCTTGAGACTATATGGATCTGAATCTAATCGAGTTGGAGATAGAAGTAAGTTGAAATCGTTCCGTTCACCGGAGATATTCCGCCTCTCTGTCTTATCGTTGAAGGTAGGAAGGAGAGGGTGGATGAGAGAATATTTGGGGAATTTAGTCCTTAAAAGGTAAATCAAAAGGCTTTAACACCCTTTTGTTTTTCTTTCTTTTTGTATTTATAAAGTCATCCCAAATACTTTATCATTTTCTATATTTTCCCCATATGTTTGTTTTCGCGCTTTGTGATTTAAAAGTTCCAGTTACTTATACCAACAAGTTTGATCATAATACAGTGTAAAATTAATCTCTTTTTTTTTATAAGAATACGAAATTAATATCTTCGTAAACTATTTTGATAAACTACTATTTCATTAAACTGATAAATAATTTAAGTTTGATATTTTATGATATCAAATCGCAGTTTCATTAACTCGATTTCTATTTCACTAGCAATACTAATAAGTTGGTTGACAAAAAATAAGCAATACTAATTAGTCGTATTTAAGGAAAACAAATACTTATCTCAACGTCTAATTGAGAGTAATAATGTTCTTCCCACTTGTGAAAAGTATATAAGAAGATGTTATAATAGACAAAAGAGCACAAACGGACAAAGACATTAAACTAGTTACAGTTTACACGTCATAAACACTACACAAAGGAAAAAGAGGATCTGTTGTCGAAGATCATGTTTTAAGCATATGGCCCATTTATTTATTCATTTACTTTATTTTATATAATGATTGGTGAGTTGGAATTGATCTGTTACCTAACGTAAAGTGCAACAACATGGGCCAAGTTGATCAACAAATAAAGATTAAAATTATTTTATTATATTTCTGTATAATTTTTGTATTTTATAGGTTCACAAAATGACAAAAACAAATGTAATCTCGAATTTATATATTTTCTCCAACATGTCTCTCAAGAAACTTACTTAAATCCAACTCTCTTGTTCCAAATCCAGTCTGTGGCCGCCCTATCTTTCCACAACCTTGTGACTTCTATTCTTTTGTTTTTTGGTATGTTAACTAATCATTAATCATTTCATATGATAAATAACTCTACTTGCATATGTACTTTATGTAATTAACATCTACATGGTAGACTTGACCAATTTTTTTATATTGTCAATGCGTATTTTTGAAGCTGAGTGGGAAGTGAAAAGGACCATCACTATATAATAATAAAACTATATATAGCATATTGATATAAAGTGATAGATTTGTCGAAAAAATAAAACAAATTAATTATTGTATTGTGTTTGCTTGAAAACTTATATAAAATTTACATGCCTTTACTGGCATAATAAATTTATAACTATTTATAAATAGATTATAGATATATGTCAATTCAAAACCACTATAATAAGTTTTTTTCATGTGTGCAAAATATTATATAATAAATTAAACAACAAATTATTTCTAGATTTGTCCAAAAAATAAAACAAATTAATTATTGTATTGATGTTTCCTTGAAAACCTATATAAAATTTACATGCCTATACTGACATAATAAATTTATAACTATTTATAAATAGATTATAGATATATGTCAATCCAAAACCACTATAATGATTTTTTTTTCATGTGTGCAAAATATTATATAATAAATTAAACAAAATGTTATTTCTATATAATAAAAAAAAAACATAAATACTTTTTATCACGTAATATAACTTGTAAACACTTATGCATTTGAAAGATTTATTAATAAATTAAATAACAAAGGTTTTATATATAACAAAGTTGTTCATTATAAGAAAACTTATTTTTTAATTGTTAAACAAGTTTGAATACAGTATATACATAAATTATAATATATATATATATATATATATATATATATATATATATATATGTGGATTTATCTTTCTTTTTAATATTTATATAAAACTATATGATATAATAGATAACACAATATAAAAAATTTTAGAAAATATTGTTATCAAAAATAAATCTAGTTTATAATTTATAAGATTATATATTGATAAACTTAATTATTTATTATGGGTAATATAGACTTTAGACATTGTAATTTTTAACGTGAGATTTGGAATGCAAAGATTATTTCATAAATAATAATATAGATGCTTTCAGATATAGGTATAATACAAAGTTGAATTTAACTACAGATTTAACTAGTACTCGATCATATAGTAAGACTTTGCGGCAAATAAATAGTTTGAATTAGCTATTATTTTGAATGAATTTATAAGTAATTTATAAATAACAAATAATAAAATAAGTCAAGTAATTTACAAGTCCGTCAATTTTTGCAAGTAATTGAAACTGCAAGTACTTGTTTTTTGCAAACCAAGTACAAATAAAAATATTTACTACTCGTATAAGCCAAGCCGAGTACTAAGTATACCAAAAATACCGAGTACTCGGCTTGTGCCCATCCCTAAACCCAATGTAACAAACAATTCAATCAAGTCTTATAAATATTGTACTAGTAACTTGTCAATCTGTTTTTATTTCTATTTTAGTCCTTTAGTTAATCATTTTCACGTAGTTTTAACTTCTTAGCAATTTCAACACATTTCCATCCCCAGAAGTCACCAACATGCAAAAGATAAAACACATGAAAAGAAACCCATATACATGCTTCGAAGCCAGCATACACAATCAAAAGCTAACACACACGGCCTAAAGCCACTTGACTTGTTGGTCCATATAACCCGTCGGTCTTATCAACCTGTTGGTCCTATCAAATTTGCGAAATAAAGACTGAATTATCATCCTATCTTACAAATTAATACCTTTCTGAAGTAATAATGTTTTGATCTTATAAATTTTTTAATTCAATACTCTACAAATATTTCACATTATCTAAAACTATTACTGAAATTCATCAATATCCCAATTTTGGTAAAGTACTATAATAACATAGGTATGAATAGGCAATCACGAGGTAAATTATGTAATGATAAACACGACAGATGACTAGGTTTGGATAATTTCCTGTGAGTATGAAGAATATATCTGTTGATGTTTGGAAATTTATCGATGCAGCTATCCTCGTCGTGTTACTTGATTATGGCCATGAGCTGAAACGACAGAGAGATAACTTTGTGGAGTGTGTTTACGAGACTTCGGGAACAAGTGTAGAAGCTGCGAATTTGATGGCTGAACAGACACATAAGTTGCTAGGACTGATAGGAGTGTCGACTCGAAGGAGGAAGAAGAAGAAGCCGTAAGAGAGAGGTTTGTTAATGGTGACGAAAGAAAATTATGGTTTCCATCCGTTTCCTGGTTTATTTGATGATGAGCAGAATATTATTTTGAAATCAAAGAGAGACTTGAAGGTCCTAATCTTTTTTTATACTCTCTTTTGAATCCATATTTATTCCTTTGTGTCGGTTTCAGATTGAAATACTGAATTGCTTGTTTGTTGTTTCAGTCTGAAAAGAAAAACTTTGGTTGAGCTGCTACATAATCTGGAAGATATGGACATCAGCGGCGGAGCCAAAAACTTTTTGTACTAGGGTCAAAATTTCTTTTTCAAAATCATAATTTATAAATCATCAAAAACTATAAATATATGCTACGATCAAAACATAATTTATAAACCATCAAAAACTACAAACATACTCTACAATCACTTATAGTTTGAAACATATTTATCACATTTTCAAATATTTTTTCCTATAAAAAAAATTAAGACAACTATTTAGAAACTAATCACAAATGCAATTTTGTAATACTATTTTGATGATCTTCATTCATGTCTGAGAAACTATCATTTGCCGATAGATTTTACTTTTCAGATTCAGAAAAACTGATCCATTAGTTTTCTGATAATTTTTTAAAATTGGTCTACTTCTAAATATAGAATTACTTGTTAAAGGTACTCAGATCATGAACACAGATTAACCCTAAATTTTTTTATTGAACTGAATCAATGATTCGTAATCATATCTGGTTTAGTAAAATAGTATAAGAAAAAAAAGAGAGTATAACAATAAAATAAAAAACTAACCTGAATTTTATCTAAAAAAAAATATTTGTTGAGCATGAAAGTTCTCACAGTCTTGCGTACATCCAAAAAGAAGTACCAAAATCATCTATCTTTTTTCAAACTCACTAATTTATTATAAATTTTTCTAATATTAATTAATTGGGCCTAATATAATTTTGGTTTAATACAAATACGTAACTAAAATTGAAAATTAAAAATGTGTTTATTGAATTTTAGGTAAAAATTAAGAGAAATTGTTTTCTGTATATTTAAGTTAATAAATCTAATGTTTTAAAAATAAAAAATAATATTCATATTATTTATATAATTAAATTCTATCTTTCATTTTTAATGTTCTGTAATTATTTGAGTGATATCATTTTTTGTGGCGTCAAATTTTGTTTTTTAATGGTGTCAATAAAAATGTTTTTTACAAAATTAATATAGGTATTAATAGGCAATCATGAGGTAAATTATGTAAAGATAAACACGACAGATGACTAGGTTTGGATAATTTCCTGTCAGTATGAAGAATACATCTGTTGATGTTTGGACATTTATCGATGCAGCTATCCTCATAGTGTCACTTGATTATGGCCACGAGCTGGAACGACAGAGAGATAACATAGTGGAGTGTATTTAAGCGACTTCGGGAACAAGTGTAGAAACTGTGATTTCGGCGGCTGAATAGACATAGAAATTGCTAGGGTTAATAGGAGTGTTCACTCGGAGAAGGAAGAAGAAGAAGCCGTAAGAGAAAAGTTTGTTAATGGTGACGAAAGGACGATGATGGTTTCCATCCGTTTGCTGGTTTATTTGATGATGAGCAGAATAGTATTTTGAAATCAAAGAGAGACTTGAAGACCCTAAAGTTTTTTTATTCTCTCTCTTGAATCCATATTGATTATTTTGTGTTGGTTTTAGTTTAAAATACTGAATTGTTAGTTTGATTTTTAGTCTGAAAAGAAAAACTTTGGTTGAGCTGCTACATAGTCTGGAAGATATGGACATCAGCGGCGGAGCAAAAAACTTTTTGTACTAGTATCAGAAATTTTTTTTCAAAATATATAATTTATAAATCATCAAAAACTATAAATATACTACGATCAAAACATAATTTATAAACCATCAAAAACTATAAACATACTCTACAATCACTTATAGTTTGAAACTTATTTATCACAT